TGAGACAGGATCTTGTTAAGTTTCAGAGGCTATCTTTCAACTTGTGATCCTCCTGCCTCAACCTCCTGAGTCACTGGGGTTACAGGCCTGTGCCACCATGCCCTGCATCTTTGCCAATTTTTGTTAGCCATTTGTACATTCTCTTTGATAAAATACCAGGCAAGTGTTTGGTCTCTTTGTCATTTTTCTATTGATTTTTAGTAATGCTGTATTTTTAAATTTTCTTTTCTGTACACCAGGGGCTGCCTTATTCCTAAGTTACCTCCTCAGTCCTTTTTATTTTGATACAAAGTGTCCAGGCTATCCTTAAACTTGCCATCCTCCTGCCTTAGCCTTGTGGGTTGTTAGAATTAGAAGTGTGTGTTACACTCCCAGGTTCTATTTTTTTTTCAGGGCTGGGGACTGAACCCATGCCCGCAGGCACTCTACCACTACCCCTCAGCCCTATATACTCTTGTGGCTACTCCTTTGTCAGTCAACATGTATCACAAACATTTTCTCTCAGTCTGTGGCTTGTCCTACTTTCTTTATGTTAATACTTAAATAACAGATTTTTTTAGTTTAAGAGAGTTAAATTGATCAAAAATTTTTTTCATCTTGTGCTTTTGGCATCTAGTTTAAGAACTCTCACTATCTTGAGAACATGTTTTACTTTGCCTTTTAAACGTTTTACGGTTCTGTGCGTTGCTGTAAATGAGGTGGGGGTGTTCAGTTTCTCAAAAACAAAAACAAAACACCCAGTTTTTGTTTGTTTTTGTAATTTTCTTACAGGTTTGTGTTTTTCTGAGAGTTTGTATTGCCTTTCACTTTTTTCTACTTAGAGAAGAAATTGGAATTTCATCTTGTCATTAAATTTTGAACATCATCTAAGTGCTGCACTCCTAGCTACACCTGTAACCCCAGCTGAGGGAGGCTGAAGCAGGAGAACCACAAGTTTGAGGACAGCCTCAGCAATTTGGATAGACCCTAGCAACTTAGAGAGACCCTGTCTCAAAATTTAAAAAGTAAAAAATAAAAAGAACTGGGGATGTAGCTCAGTGGTAAAGCATCCCTGGGTTCAACCCCCAGTACCTAAATAAATAAAAAATTTAAAAAAGAGCTGTGGGTGTAGCTCAGTAGCAGAGCACCGAGTTACTCCATAATCACAGTAATGACACTGTCTACAGCTTGAGAGTAATTTTGTTATTCTTCCTGAGGACACTGGTCTTTCTATTTTAATCTGGACAGGTGGCTACTAGGACTATTGCACAGAGGTCAAAGTAACACTCTTGGTTAATTCCCCCATTCTTGCTTTGCACATCTTTCTATTTCTTGTTTACTATTCTTTAACTTTGCTGGAATATACCCTTAGTTTCCTAAGGCACATAAACCAGGTGAGGTTGTACATGCCTATAATCCCAGCGACTTGGGAGGCTGAAGCAGGATTGTAGGTTCAAAGCCATCCTCAGCAATTTAGTGAAGCCCAAGCAACTTAGTGAGACCCTGTCTCTAAATAAAATATTTTTAAAAGGACTGGGGATGGGGCTCATTGGTTAAGCACCCCTGGGTTTAATTCCTGGTACCAAAAAAGAAGAAGAAGAAAGAAAGAAGGAAAGAAAGAAAGAAAGGGCACATAAAACACATTTTCTGATTTCTGCAAATCTAAATGTCTTTCTTCTGACCTCTCAATTCATAATGTGACTGGGAATTTTAAATTCAAAATAATGTTCCCTAATGTGATGCACAATTGATTGTTACATAACCCTAAAATGATTGGTTTGTTCCACTTCTAATGGACCCTGCTACTCTGGGCAATGTACTGAAAAGGAAGCATTGGTAAATATTTCATGACATTTTTAATACTTACTATTTTTATTTTAGATAAGTTCCTTGGTTGATGCAAAATCATAGCCACAGTATTAGGGGATTGGCATTAGAAAGACTCTAAACGCAGTCTTCAGGAGAGAACTCTAATAAACAATCTTGCTAATGTCCTTGAATTAAAGGGAAAATATTATGTATTTTCTACAATGTTTTTTAATTTAAAATAAATTAGGCTTAAAAAAATTTGCTCTCTGAATATTGAAGGTACTAGTGCATTGTCTACCATCCTCCTTCACTTGACTGCCAAACCATGTTATTTTATTTTTTGTGCTGGGTATCCAACCAGGGCTTCAGGCACACTAGACAAACACTCTACAACTGGAGGACATGCCCGGCCCAGGGACTTTCTCTTTATTGTTTTCCTTTTTCTTCTTTTCTTTGGAAGGGTTCAACAGCATCATTTATTACCAGAGTGTGCCTTGGATACAGCACAATTATGGAAAAATGTTGTTGGCAGTAATCACATGTTGTCACATGCCCCCAAATTCTACAGAATATGAAATACTGACAAGAAGTCTAGAATCACTGGGAAAATATCTGTAAGTCTCACACGATCTTTTAATTTCAACTAACACCATGAAAAGTTTCAGTTTCAATGACTTACTAAATTCCTAAGTCATCTTTAAAGTATTGTTCTTTTTCTCCCTCCTAGGTCAAATAATGAAATGACTCTGAAAGTTAAGAGTAGAAAGCTAAGATGATTGCTACCGGTTATTAATGTTAAAAATGACATTTGAACACTCCAACTAACCTAAACAGAGATTTTAGTATTCTATTGGTAATTTTCCAAAAACACTTTTTAAATATGTCATTCATGCACCATTAAATTCATTTGATTTAAGTGTACAATTCAAGGTCTTCATAAACTTTGGGGGTTGTGCAACCATCACCACAATCCCGCTCTAGAACATTTCCATCGTCCCAGAGATCCCTCATGCTCGCTTGCCATCACTCCTCATTCTCACTGCCAGCCCCAGGCAATCCCTACTCACCTTTCTGTCTCTATAAAGGCATGCCTTTCTGGATTTTTCATAGAAATGGGATCATGTAATATGTAGTTTCTGTGTGTGTCTGACTCGTTAAGCATTTAAAAATATTTTAAAACGGAAATATGACTGCATATCATATAACTCACTATTTATTTTGTTTATTCTTAGTTACAAAATTTTACAAGGATGTGTTATATATGGCCCCACCCTCCTTCCTTCTCTTACACACTTGATCACTTTTGTATCTCTTCAGTTCTGTATCAACTATGTTTTAAAGTTTATTCTTGCGATTTTTTTTCTGCTACTTTTTTCGAAAATGCCCATTAATTAAATGGTTTAACCTTCCAGATCTCTGCCTCCCTGCCTGTGGTACTGGGAATTGAACCCAGAGACACTCTACCACTGAGCCACATCCCCAGCTCTTTTTAAAAAATTTATTTTTAGACAGGGTCTCACTGAGCTCTCCAGATTGGCCTAGAAGGTAAGATCCTCCTACCTCAACCTCCCAAGTTGTTGGGATTACAGATGTGTGCTACTGTACCCAGTCCCTCTCTGTCTCTTATCTTTGCTCTCCCTTTCCACTAATGGCTCTAACATTAATTTCCACAACTTCATTTTCTAATTAATCTATGAAATTATATAACTCAGAAGTCATATTTTTAATTTCTAAGAGCTCTCTTGTTTTCTACTCCTTTTTCATAGCATCCTATTTTGATTTTATGAATACAACATCTCCTTGCCGCTCTTTTGAGTGTGCTAATTAGGAAAATTATTTATTTTCTGTTTCCTGCATTTTCTATTTCTTCTAGGGTCAGCTGTTTTATGCACAGGTGGGGCAGGGGATGGAGGAGAGAATTGATGGAGCTATCTTGGAGGTGGACTCTCAGTGAATCTCTGTGTGTCCAACCTCCTTTCTTATTTATTCACAAAGCTTCCAGAGGATTCCTTGTCCTTCATGGTGTCCCTGAATTATGGCTTCCTTTTACAAAACATGGTATAAAGGGTAGGCGCTGGAAAAATCTATGCTAAAATCTCATCTTGGATATTTATTAATTTTGTGGTGTTGGCCAAATTATGTGTTTTAAATATCAGTTTCTCCTGTGAAATAGGCATAAAATAAGATAAGAATAATAATTTCACTGAGATGTTCAGGCTAATCAGATATTGCATAGCTATCATTTGGCTTGGTGACACATAATAAAATATTCAATAAGTATTTATTTATACAGCTACACCGTCTTCTGAAATTTGTTGAAACCTCTCATTCTTACTAAATTCTGTTAGAGAACTCTATTTGTTTATTCCTTGTCTTGATTTTTAAATTTTAATTTAAACATTGCTGAAGGGAAATGATACAATTTTGCAGTATTGAATTGGAATCTCTCTTAAATTTTCACTTCACTTAAAAACTTTAGCACATATATCCATAGTCTCCCTTCCCATTCCCACACATGTCTTCTAATGGAATCTTTCTCCCGTAGTTAGCTTTACAGAACTTTCATGTTCTTTTCAAAAAAAGCTTCATAAGGGAAGGCTGAGGCAGGATGATGGCAAGTTCCAGGCCACCCTCTGCAACTTAGAGAGACCCTGAGTCAAAATAAAAAATAATGCTGGGGTTGTGGCTCAGTGGTAGAGTGCTCGCCTAGCACGTGTGAGGCACTAGGTTCGAGCCTCAGCACCACATAAAAATAAATAAAATATAAAATAATAAATAAATAAAAATAGATAGGGATATGGCTCAGTGGTAGGACACCACTCTCTGGGTTCAATCCTCATTACCGCAAAAAAAAAGAAAGAACCTCATAGATATTTGGATCCAGTACTAGCTAGAACAACAGTTGCTAAGATCAACAAATTTGTTATGATTACTGTCTGACCCCTTTTAAATTTCCATCTTTTGTCTTATAGGACGTATGCAATTGGCCTATTTTTTTATAGGTGGCGCTGTAGAGAAGAGCAGAGGCCAGCCTGCTCCGAAGGAGCAGGAGATTCTCCAGTAGGGGGCGTAACCCGCGGGGCACTAGTTCTTGGCGAGCCGTACGCAACGTCAAAGGCGGAGACAACTTTCACCCCGCCCCTTACATCTGGCGGCGCCCTGTGATTGGAAGGAAGAACTATCTCTTGGCCACGCCGTTAAGGGTGGGGGGGAAGAGGGCCTCGACCGAAGGTGACGCTGAGTCGGCTGAGGTGCGGGGAGTTAGGCTGTGCAGCACTTCGGGCGCTCTCCCCTCATCTTTATGCGGTGTATGGCGGCGGGATGGAGCGCGAGGGGAGCGGCGGCAGCGGAGGCTCGGCCGGACTCCTGCAGCAGATCCTCAGCCTGAAGCTCGTGCCACGGGTGGGCAACGGGACCCTGTGCCCCAACTCCACTTCTCTCTGCTCCTTCCCAGGTACGGCCCCGCCCCGCCCCGCGCCTGCGCACTGTGCGTCCGGCCGGCGGGCTGCGACTTCTCTCGCAGAGCTGGGTTCAGGCTCCCAGATCCACGTCTCCGGCCAAGTCCTCGCAGGTCCCCGGGGCCCCGCCACCCGATGCCAGCGCGGAGGCGGCCGAAGTTGGAGGGAGCGGCCGCAGGTGGACCCGGAGGCAGGAGGGGCCGGTCTTGGGTTTTGCAGTTTTGAACGCGCCTGCTTCAGAGTCGCGCCCGGCTCGTTGGCGGCGCGGAATGGCGCCTGGCCGCCTGTCGCGGGGACCCTGGCTGGATCGTGTCGGTCTGGCCGAGCAGCGGTCAGAACCCACCCCTCCTTTGTGTGTAGCCTGTAGCTCAGCCCCTCTGCTCCAGGAGCCCGGCTGCTGATCGCTGGCACCCGGTCCAAACCCACCCCTTTTCCAGCTGGTTTACCTGGAATCACTTGCTGAGACCTGTTGCCGGTTCTCCCACCACGCCTTGTACGTCTTTGACCGAGTCTTTTTAACTCCTCTTACCCCCATCTGACCTTCTGCTCGGCCTGGTGGGGTTCTCAAAGTTGTAATACAAAATAGAATTGTCAGTGCTTAGAGATGAGGAATTACCTCCTTTAGGAAGATTAATAAAGACTTCGAGAGGCGGGCATAGTTATTTGTATTGGACCTTTAAAGGCCAGAAGACAGACGAGTGGCGATTGAAGGGGGAGTTGGGGGTTCTCTGGCGGTTGACTGACCCAATAAACAAAGAACGGGCCTGAGACAGTGCAAAGGGAAGGCGGATGGACTGCAGTCTTAAACAAGGCACCTGGGATTTGTCATCCAGTGGGCAGCCACTGGCAGGCACCATTCAGTGGACACCTGAGACTTGCTGTGTATCACATGTCTAGCGCTGTTGGTGAAGTAGCAGACAAGATGATGGTAATCTGTGTTGGGGGTGAGTGAAGATGGAAGTTTGTAATCATGCCTAAAATGAGAATCTGGCAGCTCAAGTTGTTTCAAAAAGTATTAAGAGCACAGCTGACACCGAAAACAAAAATACACAACATTCTGGAGACCCTGTCCAAAACCTGAAACATTCATACACTATCATGACTAGGTTAGTCTGGTTTTGTTTCCTTATTCTTCCCCCTTCCCCCAACTTTACTTGGGAAATTTCAAACCTCCTGAAAAATTGAAAGAATAGTATAGCAGTTACTCATATGCTAGGATTCAGTAATACAGTCATGCATCATTTAACAACTGGGGCTTGTTAAGCAGTTCTTTTTTTAATATTTATTTTTTAGTTGTTTTTGGACACAATATCTTTATTTTTATGTGGTGTTGGGGATCGAACCCAGGGCCTCGCCAGTGCTAGGCAAGCGCTCTACTGCTGAGCCACAACCCCAGCAAGCAGTTCTTTTTTAAAATTTAATTTTTTCCACATTTTTATTGGTGCATTATAGTTGTACATAATGGTGGGATTTGTTACATATTTGTACATGCACACAATATCACAATATAATTTGTCCATTCCCTAGTTTTTCTCTTTTCATTAAGCATTTTTGTTTTGTGAATATTAGTGTACTTCACAACTCTAAATGGTATAGTCTACTACATACTTAGACTATGTTATAATTTTATGAGACCACCATCATATATTTGATCTATCACTAATTAAAACATGGGGGTGCATGACTTTTAAATTTTCTTCTATAAATATATATGCATACTCATGTTTTAACTTCCTCCAGAGCCCTTTCAAAAGAAGTTGCAGGATTCATGGCACTTAATGTCTGATACATTAGCATGTTGCTGCTAACACAAGGGATTTTCTTTCATAGCTACAAAATTATATTACTCCTAAGATATTTAACAGTGATCAAATAGGCCTTATTTAAATCTCCCCTCAATTGATCAAATGGTCCCCCCTTCTTTTTGGGGGGATCTGAACAAGGTTCACCCATTGCATTTAGTTGTTATGTCTCTTTAGTCTCATTTAACTTAGAACAATATTCTTCTATTTTTATTTCAATTTCTTGAAACTGACACTTTTGAACAGTCTAAGCTAATTGTGTAGAATGTCTAATATTCTAGGTTTGTTGATTTTTCTTTCTTTCTTTTTTTTTTTTTTGGTACTGGGGATTGAACTCAGGGGTACTCGACCACTAAGCCACATCCCCAGTATTTTCTTTAGAGATAGGGTCTCACCGAATTGCTTAGCCCCTCAGTTTTGCTGAGTTAGGCTTTGAACTCATAATCCTCCTGCTCAGTTTACAGAGCTGCTGGGATTACAGCATGCACCACTGCGCCCAGCTCTTTGATTTTTCTTCATGAATTGATTAAACATTTTTTATCAGAATGTTCCAACAGATGTGATATTTTGCACTTGTTAGAGTATCATCAGGTGATAATGTAAGTGTGTACCTTTACTGATAATAGTAACTTTGACCATTTGGTGAAGATGGTGTTTGTCAAATCTCTCCACCTAAGGATACCTTAATCCTTTCATAATTAAATGTCATATGTGGGTGATAATTTGGAATGGAATGTCCTATCTAGTCTGTCTGGCTTTTAGTTCCCTTTAAGAAAAGATTGAGATAAGGGATCTGGGATGATAGTTACATCATAGTAAAGAATCTGTAGCAATGAAAATTGTTTTGCTCTCAGAAATGGTTCTGAAAATATTAAACTGCAACATGTTCTTGAGTTTACCATTGCTGCCATGGACATGTAACTTGAAGTTATTGATAACCAGGAGTCATTCATACATTTGGCTGAGTACATGTATGAGGTGTAGCCCTTTGACTTCAAGTTAGGTGATCAGAATGTGGTGGTAAGCACATACCCTCCTGGCAGTGTCTCACCCTTAGCTGTTATGCTTGGTGTAATGGGTGCATGGAAAATAGCAGTCCCTAGTCCCTTATGTGTGTGTAAGGGGCTATGGACTGCTATTTTACATCAGGTGAGCAGGATGGCCTTGATAGTGACATTGGAGCAGAGATCTGAAGGAATCGAGGAAAACAGGAAAGTGTAGGCAAGAGGGCTCCAGATTTAGAGGCTCCTTTCAGCTGGCCCTGTGTTCCTTTCTCAGACCTTATGTTTCAGGTCAAACAAGTAGGTGAACTCGGTCAGTTTTTCCTAAACCTGGGCTTCTGAGTAAACTAGGAGACATTCAGGGTCCCTGAGTGCAATATCGGGTAAGGAAGAAGGAGGAGATGAGATCAGATCCTGGAAGGCAGTCTTGCAGGACTTGAGGAGGAAGGAGGGATGATCTGACTTGCTTTTTTTTTTTTTTTAATGTATTATCCAGTGGGTTTTAGTATATTTCAGAATTGTATGACTATCACCACAGTCAGTTTGAAAATATGTTCATCACCCCTACAAGAAACCTTGACTCCAATAACAATGACTGACTGGCTTTGTGTAGAGAAAAGATGGAAGGCCAGATCAGGGTCAAGAGACCCCTGGGGTGAGGAAGGCCAGTGGTAAGTGGGCAGGCTGGCAACAGTGTCAGGAGAGAGGTGACAGACCTCAGTTGGTAGTGAGAGTCCCAAAGGCAAGTTGTTAGAGAGGAGGGAATGGAACAGGCATACTCCTTGTAGGTAGGTGGGATTTGTAAAGAGAGGGGTCTCCCAGGGCTGGGGTTGTGGCTCAGTGGTAGAGCACTTGCCTGGCACATGTGAGTTACCGGGTATGCTCCTCAGCACCACATAAAAATAAATAAATAAAGGTATTGTGTCCATCTACAACTAAAAAATATTTTTGAAAAAGGAGGAAACCTACTGTTATATTAAAAAAAGAAAGAAGGGTCTCCCAGTGGACAGTGGAGAGGTGCAGGTTGCTGGGTGATGAGCCTCAAGGCAATCTGACTCCAGGAGTTGGGGGATCCGATAGGACTGTCATCCCCAGGACTGTTGTGGTGTACTTAGAACTCTGACTTTAAGCCGGGTGTGGTGGCACAGGTCTATAATCTTTATTTGGTACTGGGTATTAAACCCAGGGACACTATACCTCTGAGCTATCCCTAGTCCTTTTTATTTTTTAATTTTTTTGGTAACAGGGATTGATTGAACCCATGAGCACTTAACCATTGAGCCACATTCCCAGACCTTTTTTATTTTTTCTTTGCGACAGGGTCTTACTAAATTGTTTAGGTCCTCTCTAAGTTTCTGAAGCTGGCCTTGAACTTGGAATTCTCCTGTCTCTGCCTTCTGTGTTGCTGGGATTACAGTGTGCCACCACACCTGGCAGGTTTGGCTCTCTTGCACTCTCTCCATGTCTTTTCCCCTCAGTTTGACACTTCTGCAGTGTTACATGCATGGATGCCCTTACCAGGTGTAGCTCCTCTCTCTCTCTCTCTCTCTCCTTTTTTTTTTTTTTTTGTACTAGGGATGGAACCCAGCGGTACTGTACCACTGAGCTATAGCCCCAGCCCTTTTTTACAATTTTAAGGCAGGGTCTAAGTTGCTGAGACTGGCCTCAAATTTGCCTTCCTGCTCTTCCCCGGTTGCTAGAATTAAAGGGGTGTGCCACCATGCTTGACTCTTAAGATGTAGCCTCCCAGTCTTAAACTTCTCAGCTTCCAGAACTGTGAGCCAAAACATTTCTGTTAGAGTAGCACAGAATAGACTAACATAGCTGCCAAGGTAAACAGAACTGAAGATAATGTGCTTGATTTGAAGCAGCGAAAAGGAAATACTGTAAGATATGTAGACAAATATTTTTGACAGTCTATTGAGCCAGGGAGATGAAAGTGCTACATGGCAATCAATAAATAGCTATTAAATAGATGGAAAATTAAGGTGCAGTAGATTAAAGAGAAATCACTTAGGTTTTAAAAAAGCATTTTATAGATCCAGTTTTGCTTTTGCTATTAAGAGTCCTGTAAAAATCCCATCCATCAGAAAAGTGCTTTTATAAACTGTGCTACTCATCTAATAAAACATTTTTTTCTAGTTGAAGTGACTTAAGTGGTACTATATAAAATATGTAGGCACTGAAGTAGCCGGTGGATGTGGCTTAGGGCTGTAGGGGTGCAGTATGCTTCCCCCTTCTGAAACTTGGGGAAGCGCCGACCTGCTATAAACTGTTCACAAATTGGCTATTAAGCTCTCAGAGGAGTTGAGGTGTGGGTCTGGTAGGTCTGCTTGGCAGGTGCCATGCTCCAGGGGAGGTGGGAATGGTGTTTTAGCTCCTGGTGGTGTTAACAAAACAAATACAATAAATTGCTTGAACAATAGACATTTATTTTCTTTTTTTTTTTTAAAGAGAGAGAGAGAGAATTATTTATTTTTTAGTTTTCGGTGGACACAACATCTTTATTTGTATGTGGTGCTGAGCATCGAACCCAAGTCACATGCATGCCAGGCGAGCGCGCTACCGCTTGAGCCACATCTCCAGCCCCTGACATTTATTTTCTTAGTTCTGGAGGTTGGAAGTCTGAGATCATGATGCCACCATTGTCATGTCCTGGTGAGGACTGATTTCCTGCTTGCAGGTGGCTGGCTGCCTTGTTGCTGTATCTCCACATGGCAGGAGAGAGAGAGAGAGAGAGAGAGAGATACATAGATAGATAGATATGGGGGAGGGAGGGGGAGAGGGAGGGAGGGAGGGAGAGAAAGAGAGACTAGGATCATCTCTCTTCTTGGAGATTGGGATCTCATCTTATAAGGCCACAATCCTATCAGATATGTATTTATTTAGTACTGGTGATTAAACTCTGGGACACAGAGCTACTATTTTTATTTCTATATAATATGTACTTAAATTTTTTAAGCTTGGGGTATGAGTATTTATAGTCCATATTGCATGATTTAAATGTGTTTTTAATAGAATTTGCAAATAACTAAAATAGGCCAGTTATTTATCTAAAAAAAAATTTTTTTTGTAATTGTAGATGGACAGCATGCCTTTATTTTATTTGTTTATTTTTATGTGGTGCTGAGGTTTGAACCCAGTGCCTCACACTTGCAAGGTAAGACCTCTGCCACTGAGCTACAGCCCCAGCCCCAAGGCCAATTATTTTGACAGGGTCACACTAAGTTGTTGAGGCTGACCTCAAACTTAGGATCTTCCTGCTTCAGCCTCCCAAGTCACTGGGATTATAGGTGTGTGCCATTGGGCTACCCAGCAAGCTACTAGTTTTTAATCAGGACAATTTTGCCTCCTTGTAGACATTTGTCAATGTCTAAAGATATTTTCAGTGTCACTTCTGTGGCGGAGTGCTGCTTCTAGCCAGAGATGCTGTTCCATGTTCCTACAAAGCACAGCACAGCACCTCCCACCCCAACAAAGTTATACAGTGGACATGGCAGTGGTACCTGGTGGAAAAACCCTGCTGGGTTAAGCTGAGCACTGATCTCTACCTTTGCCTGCTACTTCCCTGCCCCAGCCTAACGGTGAATATTGAGTTTTAGCTAATGTGCCACCTTCATTCTGTCTTTTGGATAGCTCATGAAGATAGCTAGTCTATTTTCTAAGGGACCTGATGTAGGGGTTTTTTTTTTTTTTGGTACTGTGGCTTGAACCCAGGAGTGCTTAACCACTGAGCCACATTCCCAGCCCTTTTTAAATATTTTATTTAGAGACAGGGTCTTGCTTAGTTATTTAGGGCCTCACTAAGTTGCTGAAGCTCGTTTTGAACTCATGATTCTCCTGCCTTAGCCTCCTGAGCCACTGGGATTACAGGCATGTACCACCATGACTAGTTGATACAGTTTTTTTCAAACATAGTTGGTGATCAAATATTTTAACTTTGGCTTGGGGTATAGCTCATAACTCAGTGGTAGAGTGTGTGCTTATCATGCTGGGTTCAATCCCCAGCACCAAAAAGGGGTGGGGGAGAGTGCTCATTTTCAGTCATCTTAAGAGTGGGTAGAGTCTCTCCTTAGGAACTAGCTCTTCTAACCTGCCTTATCTCTTACCTGCCATTTTCTTTAAGACAAACATTTTCTGGTGTTTATTTTACAGCTTAAAAAGCTTTGATATCCTACAGGGTGCAGTGGTGCATGCCTATAATCCCAGTGGCTTGGGAGGCTGAGGCAGGATGATTGCAAGTTTAAAGCCAGCCTCAGCAACTTAGTGAGACCTGTCACAGTACCAAAATGATAATAATAATAATAAAAAGGGCTGGGGATATGGCTCAGTGATTAAGCACTCCTGGGTTCAATCCCTGGTACAAAGAAAGAAAGAAAGAGCTTTGATATCCTAATAGCAGGTGATGGCTTGATATTTACTGCATTGTCTTTAAGAGACTGTTGCATGAATATACTGGAATAGCTTTTCCATTTTAGAAGACTAGATAATCAAAGACAGGAAAGGGCAACAGGCATCTGCTGCATGTTAGCCTATTCAGTTTGGTACTCAGTCTTGTGCTTCACATAGTTGGAAAATTATTTGGATTTTTTTACAGATCTGGATGTTTGTTGTTTCAGTTTGAGGCTGTAGGTAGCTTATCAGGGGTTGGTCAATATTTTCTGTAAAGAGCTAGAAAGTAAATACTTTAGGCTTTGTAGGCCATGTGATCTCTGTTCCTGTGTCAGATATGTTAGTCAGTTTTTTGTCACTGTGACCAAAATATCTGACAACTTAAGAGGAGGAAAAGTTTATTTTGGCTAAGGGGTTCTAGAGGTTTAGTTTGTGGTTGGCTGAGTCCTTTGCTCTGGGACCAAGGTGAGGCAGAAGTACATCATGGCTGAAGGGCCTGTCAGAGAAACACTGCTCAGCTCAGGGCAGGTCAGGAAGGGAGTGTGGTCGCTGCAAGGAAGATAGACTCTTCCAGGTGCTCCCCCAGTAACCCACCTCCTCCCGCCACACCCCATCTGGCTAAGGTTAACACCCAGACAGACCATTCAAACTAGAATGGACTGATTCAGGTACAGTCCTTACAATCTTATCAGTCCACCTCTAAACATTCCTATGTTAACATTAACACTGGAGCTTTTGCGGGGAATCTCATATCCAAACCATAACATCAGCTTTGCCCTTGAAGCTGGAAACTGTCATAGACAATACTTAAGTGAACAGACGTAGGTTTAAAGAAGTTTTTATGTTTATAATCTTCTAGTGGATTCAGATAAGTCCTTAAGTACAAAAAACAGGTGGTGGCCTGGGAGTGGTCATTTGCTGAACCTGCTGAAACCATCAGTATTTGGACATAGGACTGATGAACTAACCTATAGTGCAGCTGAATGATTTTGAAAATGAAGTTAACTGGGAAGGTGAGTGATTTGCAGCTTGCCTTTCTTTTCTCGCAGAGATGTGGTATGGTGTGTTCCTGTGGGCACTGGTGTCCTCCCTCTTCTTTCATGTCCCCGCTGGATTACTGGCCCTCTTCACCCTCAGACATCACAAATATGGTAGGTTCATGTCTGTAAGCATCCTGTTGATGGGCATCGTGGGACCAATTACTGCTGGAATCTTGACAAGTATGTTAGACATTAAAATACCAGTCAAAAACGTTTAATGTGATAAGTCAGTTAATTTCAGGACTTGTTTTAGAACATATTTGAGTAGGATAAATAATAAAAAGTGTTTTTTAATCTTAGGTCCTATTCCTTAATGTATTGTTTTTTCTTATTCCCAAACCCCCTTTGTTTGGCTAATCTTTGACTTCCTGAGAAGTACCTGATTTGTGTTCTGTTTATTTCCTTTCCCCCTGCCCCTTAGAACTTTCTCAAAAATAACTGGAGAAACATGGATATTATTTTTAAAATAACTGTATTTTTAAACCTGCTTTTTGTTTTTGTTTTGCTCTTTGGCTTTTGGCTCATGTCATAGGACACAATTACAATGGTGAGAATAATAAGTTTAAATTATTTTTAAGCTCACAATAGCATATAAACATGTTTTATATAAATTGCAAACTATAAGGAAGCAAAATAAAAAAATTATGATATATATTAATAACTACCACAGTTTGTTGCATTTTTTTTTTAGGTATACATATAAACATAAATACATTCATAGAACACAGACACTTAATAGTCCCACAAATTTGTCACTTTAGTTTTTTCACTGTGAATTTAAACCTTGAGCTTTAAACAGAAATTTCCTTGGTCTCTTTGACTTAAGGGTTTTTGTTTTGTTTTTTGTTTTGAGACAGTGTGACCCAATTTCTGTTGATGGCATTACCTCCTGCAGTTGCAGAGACCTCTGCTCCAGTTTCTACACTTGATTACTGGCCCCAGGCACCAGCTTCATTTTTCTCATCAGTAAAATAGGGATAATACTGCCAGGCATGGTGGTGCACACCTGTAATCCCAGCAACTGGTGAGGCTAAGGCAGGAGGATCACAAGTTCAAAGCCAGCCTCAGCAATTTAGTGAGACCCTGGCATGGTACCAAAAACAATAATAAAAACGGCTGGGATGTGGCTTAAATGTTAAGCACCTCTGGGTTTATTCCCTGGTAATGTAACCGTTTTACAGCCTGGGTGATGACTGAATGAGATAGTACACACAATGAAGCACCTAAACTGATGCCTGCTCTGCAGTGATTAGGTATAAATGCTGTGTTTATTTCTATCTTTAGGCATTAGGGTGGAGTTTATTCCCTTCCCATTTGCTGTTTTCTCTGGTGGGCTTTTTCCTTTCTGCCCTCCATCATCTAAATCCCACTTTAGGGCTGGACATGGTGGCGCATGCCTGTAATCCCAGCAACTCAGGAGGCTGAGGTAGGGGAATCACGAGTTCAAAGCCAGCCTCAGAATTTAGCAAGACCCTATCTCTAAATAAAAAATAAAAAAGAGTGGGGATGTGGCTCAGTGGTTAAGCATCTCTTGGTTCAATCCCTGGTTTAAAAAAATAAAAATAAATACATACCACTTTAGGACCCATTTCAAGTAGCTTAAGCTTACGTCACAAAGAGTCCTAGTGAGGTGTGCTTTCAGACATTAGTGACAATGCCAGGGGTCGTAGGCATTTTTAGAGTGTCGAATGTTCAAGAAAACCAACTTTGGCTAATTACTCTTCTTTCTTCTTGTTCATATATATGTGTGTGTGTATCTGGGTAGATACAGGTGTTTTTTGTTTTGTGTTCTCAATTTCTAGGCAGTTACAGTGACTGCATAGGAAAGTTAATAGCATGAGGCTAAAACAGAACCCTTAAGTATCTCTGTTTTTGTGTACCCTTTGAATTAAGAACTTTGTGGCTTAGACTAAGTCCTCCTTTCTTCCTTTACCATCCCATTACTCCCTCCTCTTCCCCTTCTTGAAGGGAACCCTGAATATAACAAGGTAGAGCAGGGATTTCCTGTGGCCTGAACATTTCTTTCTTAGTCTCACTTAGAAGTTTGTCATTTATTTCGTACCTCTTCAATGCTGGGCATGGGGCTAATTGGCACAGGAATAAAGAGATGTTTTTGAGTTCACATTCAAGGTCATGAAGGAATTGCTCTTTGTGATCTTATTACCTCCAGATTATTCTACTCAGTAAATCTAGGAGACTTTGAGTTTTATAGAGTCTACATCTAAAATCACAGGTCAGTGATTTGCAAACCATATAAAGAATACTTAACTAGAATAATCTTGGGGGACTGAGGCAGAAGAATTGCAAGTTTGAGGCCAGCCTAGGCAACATAGTGAGACCTTGCCTTGAAAAAAACAAACAACAACAAAACCTCAGGTGATCAGCAGAAAGAATAGGGGAAACAAGACATTTCTATAGTATTTAAATTTTAAAGTAAAAAAAAAAAACTGGAACATTCTACTTAGAGTAGAATTTTAAGTGCTAAATTTCACGATTTTGTTGACCTCATTTTTTTTCTTCAATGTACTTGAATTTTTGAACCAGGTGCAGCAATTGCTGGAGTTTACCGAGCAGCAGGGAAGGAGATGATACCGTTTGAAGCCTTGACCTTGGGCACTGGACAGACATTCTGTGTGGTGGTGGTCTCCTTTTTACGGATTTTAGCTACTCTATAGCATACACCCTTATGCTGTGATGTCCAACCTAAGTTTTCTAGAATCCTCAGAGAATACATGATGGAGTGTAGTGTGTTTTATTTCTTCAAGTGGAAGCAACTTGGTTCAACAGGAATGTGAAGAACATATCAGATATTTCTTCAGTTTGAAGCTGTAGCCATTGAAGATCTTTTTGGACTCCTATCATTCTCAACCAAGACAAAACAAGTTTCTTGGCCTCTTTTTTGTAGATTAAGTTTTACACACATACCTTTACCTAAACCAGGCCAACTGTGCCTTTGGGTTGGCTTCCCTTACACTGGAATATCCCTTACTATATTTGGTGAGAAAATCCATATTTCATGAATGTTGCATATTTCGGAGAAACTGGGCAATATTGGTGTATTTAACATGAGCAGAATAAGCTGCATTAAAATCTTAGTTGATCTAATCTTGATTAATATTTGGGAAACTCTTGTTTCACTGTATCTTCATGACAGTAAAGCCAACTAGGTTTTGGTTGAGTATAGCTTTGAGAGCAAATTTGGTGAAATGTAACAGGAAATAAGTTGAAGTATAACTCAAGTAGTGACTTTGGTTCCACCGTTAAAATATTTTAAGAGATATGAGTTTGTTTGTTTTTTTACAATTGATTAAAAGAAGCTAGCTAATTGACTTTTTTTTTTTTTTTTTTAAAGAGGGTTTTGTTATGTTCTGGCCCCAAACTCCTGTGCTCAAGCAATCCTCCTTCCTGGGCCTCCTGAGAAACTGGGACTACAGTAATGCACCATTACACCTGGCTGGCACTTTAAAAAAAAAAAAAAAAAGAAAGAAAGGATTTCTATACTTTTTCCTATTGCTTTTTGTTTTAAATTGTGGGTGGGCATAATACTTTACATGCAGTGCTGAGGATGGAACACAGTGCCTCACGCATGCTAGGCAAGTGCTCTACCACTGAGCTACAACCCTAGCCCTCTTATTGCTTTTAATTTGGCTTATTTTATTTAGTTTAATTAGAAATCTACATACCCTCTGAAGCAGCTAAGTTGAAAATTTTAAGCAAGATTGTTTAGAATATTCTTTGGACACCGAGGCACAAATAAGATACTTAAAACATTCTGCTATAGATTTTCTTAGTGACTGGGGTGGATTAATGACTTGAGACAATTATAGAAGTACAGCTGAAAATAGCATTGGTGGTTATTGGTTCCTTAGTCTTGATGTGTTTACCTGGTGGTGGCTCTTCAGCCACTTGTGCAGTATTTTTGAGTGTCTACTCCCATTAAGTGCCTGAAGTTTTATTTTCAGATCTGTCCCCATTCTGCCCTTTACACTTCTTTTAAGAAAATTGATACCCCTAAAGACAATTAAATATCAAGTTTTTTAAACTCAATTTTAGCTATTTTAATTTTTATCCTACTGCTTTCCTTTTTTATTAAAAGGCCTGAAAACTTTGACCTTCAAAAGGAAAAACATTGCAAAAATTAAGTCATTTGATCCTTACCACCTAAACTGTTTGTGTAGAAAACAATCAGTGATGTTACCTGTTTTCAAAATAACTTCTGATAGTTAACCCTGACTTTCTTTATTTCCACATTTTTCTTGGTGCATTATAGTTGTACATAATATTGGGATTTGTTGTTACATATTCCTACGTGTGCACACAATATAACAATATAATTTGGCCAGTATCACTGCCCCCTCTACCTCTCCTTAATTCTGACATTTTTAAAGGAGAACTTTCATTATGAGATTAAGGCTGACAACCCACGAGGTCATATGCACATGAATCTATTCCATTTAAAACAAAATGCACTCTGGCTTCTGATTAGAAGAAGCTAGGAGGACATTTGCCAGTGGAATTCATAGAGAAAAATTATAAAGGAATTACAAAATTCACTGGACATTTTCTTTTAACAAATTAGACTGCTTGTTAAAACTAATTGAGTGCAGCTGAATTTCCTTTCAAAATCCCCAACAAGAAACTCAAATCTAAGCTGGGCATGGTGGTGTACTCCTGTAATCCCAGTGACTCAGGAGGCTAAGGCAAGAGGATCACAAGTCTGGGTCCTGTCCAGAGAACTTAGTGAGACCCCATCTCAAATAAGTGAAAAGGCTGGGGTGGTAGCTTAATGGTAGAGCACTCTTGGGTTCAGTTCTCAGTGCTACAAAAAAATAAGCTCAAATCTTTCTTCCAAAAAATATTTAAAGATTACAGTTTTCAGTTGAAAAAGCTGTGATTTTAGAAAATATCCCTTCAGTTTAAGAAATATGGGTATTATATCCCCTCTTTTGGGAAATGGTTTTAGATCATCTCTGTTGAAAAAATGCTTTTTTCTTGCCTAAAACATTCTTTTGGATATGTCACAAACATGTGGGCCAGTAATTGGATCCTTCCCCCTGAAATCTAATTTTTCAACGTATTGATCCATGATTAAAATGTTAGTTTCTTTTTTTCCTTTTTTAGAGCCAAGACAAAAATTTAGGCATTTTGAAATTTAGGCATCTGTTTCTTATTTGATTATCTACTCTTTAAAAACTTCAAATATAAATTGTATCTTTAAATTGCTAAATGTTTCCTCCATCCCAGTATGTGAAGCATTTTCCTGTGAATAAATGTATAGATTGCGCTGTGTAGCTTGAAATGTTTTCAGGGAAAAACTATTTGAATGCTAAACAAAGAATGTATTCCACTTTGGTTTTCTCTTTTCCTCCCTTTTTCTTTCTCTCTTCCTTGTCTCAAATACAGATTTATTTGCAGGTGGTTGCTCAGATGGAAGAATATTGGCATTTATGTTGAACATTTTACCTTATATAGTTTTTTGAGAACTTTTGCCAACAACTGACTTTCTTAGAGATAGATGTAACCACCACTCCCCTAGCTATGCTTCCACTGCCCCCCCCCAACAGTTTTTTAATGTGGGGAGGCAGCCCCCAACCATTAAAGCTGATTTCTTGATTCTTTAATAGGATTTTGGGGTAAAGGCATTTTGTGAACTTAAGTTCATAAACAAATGCATAATGAATATTATGAGAAAGATTTTTCTCTGTGCTATTAGCTATTTTTTTTTTTGCAGCAGGATACTAATTTTCATGAAACGTTTAAACTAGTGAGAAACAGTTAATGCAAATAATGAACTTTAAATCCTTCCTTATGTTTTTTTAAGTTTTTACATGGTATGTTGACTTTTGATTCCAATATCCTTTCTGACTGCTCTGGTTTGTATAAAGTTCTTACTACACTGCAGCACACGCCTCCTGTCCCTGAGGAACCATTTCCTGGAATGTGAAGCCCTGGTGCCATCAGTGATCAACACGCAGAAAGTTTTTGTGAACTTGCATTTCTTTTTGTGCATTCTGTAAGGCTGGTTGTGACCAAATCAGCATAACATTTTGTATTAGGTTATTTCACTAACTGCAACAGTCAAAAGGATCAAATCTTTGTATAATAGAAAATTATTTAAATTTTATTTTTCTACTGACATTTCTAATTCAAGTGTAAATGTTTATCAATAAAGAATTACTTTAAATCCTGTGAGTTGGAACTGCATTTCTTTTTTAGTGGCTAATGAGTTTAATCTTTTGTAATAAAATTGTGTGACTTTAGTTTTTGGTATTTTTTAGTAACTTAATATTTAACATGTATGTTGAACTTTATTTTATGTTCAACTTTTTACTAATTTGTAGGAAAATTCTTGTTCAAAGATGTGATTACACTGTATTTACATATGCCTTTGATACATTAACTCCACATTGTGAGCCATGTATCACCACCAATATTTGTGTGATTCTGTGCTGAGATGGATGAATATTGATGTAATGTGTGAAAAGCTAATAATTTCAACACTAAATCTACCTGAAGAAAAACTCCAAATTAGGCTAATTTAATGACCTTGGTGACATAATAAATCAGATTTCTGTTCTGCCATTTTCAGCAAGTTGGATTATTCCAATTTGGGTAGTTTACCTCATGGTCATAAAATGACTGCTACAGTTGCTGACACTGTAGATGTACATTGTCTGGCAGGGGACTGCCTATTCATTGTAATTTTTTAAAATTGAGGTTTAACAGGCAATAGAGTACAAAAACCTTAAATTGTATAACCTGATATTTATATATATATATATATGTTATGTGACTGCCACTCAGTTCAAGAAACAGGATGATTCTAGTAGCCAGCTAGAGTGCAGAGCAGAGGATATGCACATAGTTCGACCAGAAGCCCCTGAAATTATGGGTATTAAGGACACAGCAGGGGAGGAATTTTCAGTTTCCAAAAAGAACTACATTGAGAAACCAGGGCTTTGGTAGGTGCCTGTAATCCCAGTGATCTGGGCAACTGGAAAAAGGGTTTTGAGTTACAGTTTAGTGAGATCCAAGCCAAAAACAAAACTCAGTTGCCACTGCATACCCTGCAGTCAAAAACACAAGGTGTTGGTAAGGGTGTGGAGAAACTGGGATCTCATGAATATCAAGTGGTGCAACTGTTTTGGAAAACAGTTTGGCAATTCCTCAAAAGGTAAAGCTTCATGACTGACACTTCTAGGTGAGCTTTGAAAATGTCAGGTTCTAAGAGCCAGGTGTAGTGGCACCTGCCTATAATCCCAGCAGCTAGGGAGGCTGAGGCAGGATTGCAGGTTCAATGGCATCCTCAGCAATTTAGCGAGGCTGTAAGCAACCTGGTGAGAGACCGTATCTCAAAAAAAAAGGGCTAGGGATGTGGCTCAAAGTGAAAGAAACCAGTCACACATTATATGAGTCTGTTTACAGGGAATGTTCAGATGTGATGATCAGGTAAAACGGGAATGATTAATGAGTGCCGGGTTTCTTTTTGGGGTGATAAAATTATTCTAAAATTGATTTGATGGTGATTGCTCATGTCTTTGAATATATATGAAAATAGTTGTACACTTAAAGGAGATAGTGTTTTTTGATACATAAGTTTGCTAGTATAGAGCCTTCTGTAATGTCTCTACTCACATGTCTAATCTATTCCCTGATTTAGATAACTCAAGGACTGGATGACATAGATCCAGTCCAGTCCAGAGTATCAGTGAGAAGCAACTTTCAGTTGAAAAAAAACCCTCAATTTTTAGAAAGTATGGAACAAACAGCATGGCAATCATCAATGTCTCACCTGCATTTGATTCTGATTACTTTGTCCCCAAATTAGATTATAATTAAAATGTTTCATCTGAAAAAAATAAAGATTATATGTTTGTATTATAATATGGATCAACTTGAAAGAAAGATCCATGTGGATGTCTGCATTCTAGAATATAGTGGATTCTAGTTATTGACAGTAGTTACATTTATACTGTTGTCTCTAATAACCTCTCCTCCAGGGTTTTAGACTCCTATGAGCTGCTGGTCACAACACCTTTGTTAAATGACCATCATGTAACCTTGTTTTATGTGTGTTTCTATCCAAAGACACCTTATTTAATACA